CCTTCACATTCAATTACAAAGAGCCCTGTCTTCCTATATTAGACCTGAATGCTAGAATCAGGTGGTTGCACACCGGATGGCAAAATCTTAAGAGAAGCAATTCCAACATGCTCCACTGTTTAATTGACACCAAGGAGTTGGGAGGGCATAGTGCCCTCTGAAGTGACTGCAGTATTAATGTCTGATTACCTCTGAAGGATTTCATAGGATTCTACTCTAAACTTTGTTCAGGTGTTCCAGTTGTTTCTCACAGTGCAAAATTATGCTGTCCAGGTTAATAGAAGTCTCTGAATTGCCCACCATGTGTCTGTGAGTAACTACATGTGTGTGTTCCCTACAATGTCCAGTGTCCTCTTAGACTCCATAGCCCTTCCTTGCCTCCTGTATGTCTAGTTAGACTCTTGCTCACCAATTACGTCTAAGGAAAGAGCAGCTACTGAAAATTGCTGGTTGGATGCCTCTTGTCTAAAAAGTCTGCATTTGACATATTTTGTATCCATTTTGTTTCGCATCTGTGCTCGCATGATCGTAACACAATATTCTTCCTCCATTTGTGTGATATACTTGACCTCTATCAGGTAATGATGTGAATTACCAGTAGTAATCTATTTTTATAGCTGCATGTGATCAATCACAGTCCCAGAATGTGTTTAGATGAGGGCTTAATAATGACATATCATGTTTTGGAAAGAAACATCTGGCAAATGTTAGCTGTCCCATTTTTTGTGCAAAAATTAAGCATTTAAATACCAAGAGTATTTATTTATGCAAGAATATTTATCCAGAAAGAGAGAGAGGAGAGGCTTTAGGAATTCAAACATATTTACCTGGCTTTTCACAAACTGTACAACATCTGAGAATGGATGAGGCAATTAAAGACAAAAAAGTGCCTGATTCATACAGTGCTTTCTGTCATTTTTGAAAAATGAAAAATAAAGTACTAATGTCACGAATCCTTAAAAAAATCTAAACTATCTTCAGACTCTTAAATTGTCATTCTGAGAGGTGTGTGTGATAAATTCCAATCTACAATGCTAAATGAAGTAAAACTCTGAAAGTGTTTAAAAAGATACATATATTTTCCAAATTCTTTATTTATTTATTTATTTTCAATATATTTTCTTATATTGTTTTTTGAAGAATGTACAGTAACAACCCAGAAACATGCATTCATGGAAGACAATTTAAAAACCGGTGCAGTGTAATTTCATAATAATAACCGACAGCCTACAAGAACTTTTATTTTTCAATTTAAATTTTACATTCACCTTTGCTTGATCTTGTACTGAGTAGAAAATTGTTAAAGTGCTCTTTACTATAGTGCACTGTATTAAAGAAAAATGCCAGTGAATTCAATCCTTTTCATTTGATGAAGCTGTAACTCATAAGCAGCCATCAGTGATGATGGAGCCAAATACCAAACCTTGTGGTCAATTAATATTGTAATCAGTACCAGTCAGTCCCAGCTTTCATTTGTCTTTTTTAGTTGGCTTCATTGAAAACAATGACACCAGCATGTGATAAACCCCTCTGTTGAGAGCAACATGGACAACTCCAGCCATACTCAGGCAGGTTAAAGGAATAGTGAGCCAGATACCTCTAAACAGGCTGCCCGTGAGGCATGAGCACATGAATACCATGTCAGACAGCAGGATATTGAGCACAGTAGTCTTCATTAAGCCAACTCCTCACAATGCCAAGGACTCTAATCAACCCAACACCAACTACTACACTAAGTCCCTTTATTTACAAAACTAGTGTAAATGAGCATCATGTGAAAAAGTAAAACGTTTTCAAGCCTTCTCACACATTCACCCTCACGGTAGGATTCAAGGCAGGTGTTTGACTGGACCACTACGGGACGTTCAGTTTTCTATTCCTAAACCACTGCAGTGCTGCTTTGGCCTGGTGTTCTAGGTCCCTGCCCTGCTGACAGCTCAATTCTTTTCTTAATTTAAGGTGCACCTAAGTTAATTTAGGACCAAGAAAAGGTTTATTCCAAGCCGCAAAGAGAAGAAAAGAAACACAATGTTTCGGCTATGGAGCCTTTTTCAGGTATCAAGGTTGTTGTGTTTCTTTTCTTCTCTTTTCAGCATGGAATAAACCTTTACTTGTTCCTTTGCAGCCTACGCATGCTGACGCAGCTACCTACTTAAGTCAATTTAGGCTTGCCACAGAAATGGGTTTGAATGCTTGTATAATCATGACTTTTCCATTTATTATCTATTTACTTCTTTCTTTTTTTCATGACTGCAAGCTTGGAATAATGAATGATTTGCCACCTCTGGGAGCGTAAAAGTCACTTCTTCGAAAAAAGCCTTCAAGCTGTTTAGATTAATCCAAAGGAGTTATAGCCTTGCTACTAAAGGCATTGTAATGGGACCCTTATGAATGACAACATCAACTCAACAATCAATAGTAACTAAGCAAAAAACTCTCCATCCCATTGGTAACATTTCTTGTGCTCTCAAGTCTGTTCTTACTGCTCCACAGAACAGATCATTTCATTTGTCAACTGCAGCCAGCAGGCAGCTGTGTATCTGCAGTCCCTCACCATCATGCCCACAGCTACCCCTATAAACATCGCTGCCTGTTATGCTAAGCTGTCAGCATCTGATCCCCTTACGACAGCTAATGTGAACCTTCTCAGCTCTCCCACCTCCACTGGCTTCTCTTAATGAAATGAGACCCTGATCTGTAATTAAATTCTTAGGCATGGATGAAGTCAGCAAAGAAAGGGAATGCAAGGCTCTAAAGCGCATCTGCAACTCTTGGAACATGATCTTGATAGCTGGCATTTGAGCATTTATTTTCACATTTAATTTCCTAAGTGCTTTTTTAACCCATTCATTTCAGCAAACTAAATGCAATGATTTCCTATTAGACAGCCTCAAAACTACATTATCACTGAGAACCCCCAATTATCCTCCTCGAAAACCTCGATCCAGCACATTCTCTTGGGGTTTTTAGATCTTAAATTAACAGATTGCACAAATGAATGAAACATAATGTGAATTAAGTCTCATTAATGTCTACCTGGACAAATTTAACTGTTTAAACCACACAGCAGAAATGTCAAATCAGATGCTGAAGTGTGCTAGATGGCCATGGCCTCCAAGAAAAGCAGTTTTAACACAAATGCATAATTTTGGTCTCCCTGTAAAGCTGTCACCTCTCTCTCCAAGGGCAGCACTGGGGTGAAAAAAAGGCTGATACCCTCTTAGTATTAAGCGCTTACTTAGAGAATACTTAGATGGAGTGAGTCTGGCATTAGAATCTCTCGTTCTTGTTGCAGAATTGCCCATTCTAGTTCTCCTGAATCCAAGGCTATAAAATATATCTTCCAAACCTCTCCGTCCTTTCCAAAGAACCACAGGCATCCTCACTTCCGTCTTGCTGTGCAAAAACCACCTGCTCTCTCCCATTTTCCTGCTTGTGTGAAAAAGGACATGGTTTGTATCACCTGTCTTTTTACAACATGGAACTGCCAGATGAATGTAACGCACCTGTAATGCAGACACAAAATCTCTTTTGCAATTATGAAAACTAAGTTAGGCTGTCTTCTAATAAAGTGAAACCTCTAGCAGAGTCAACCAGTGAATAATAAGCAACAATAAATTTCAGGGTGAGTGTTAACTCTGCATTTAACTCTGCAGGAGGTTAAACATACGCTCTGAGTGTCATGTTGTTGTCTCTGTGGATTCAAAACCATTTTAAATCCAAATGAGACAAAGACAGTAGGTTCATTAATTAAAATGCATTATCCTTATAACCCATTTCCCGCAAAAAGAACGTAACATTTCAATAACAGATTGTTAAAATTAGGTACAAGGTGATAGAAAATTGACTTAATTCTTGAAATTGCACTGTTTCATGGGGGAATATTAACCACTTCTTTCACTGATCCTATTTATTTCACTATACCTGAAACGCCTAATGTTAATCTCGACAAGCAAGTCTGGGATGAGACTAATCAGGTTCTGTGCTATCACCCACAAGAAAAGGTTTCTGTTGAAAACTCAGATCTTGAAATAATTTGATCTCGTTACAAAACAGAATGAGTAAGGCTCTGAGTATCACTTCATTGATTAATCTGTGCAAACATGATTAGTTTACTTCTGAAAAAGCATGCAACTCTGCATCAGATAACACCACACTTTAAACCTGACTTGTTCCAATAAAGTGAAGAGAATGGTGAAAGATCCTGACATACTGTAGATATGGATACATATTGATTATGTATTGTTATTAATTTGGGTTTTTATGTTATGATCCAGGTGGCACCACGAGGAATTTGAACCCGCAACTCCCTTGTCAGGAGTTCAAAGCACTAGCTCGTAAACAGTACCACAGTCCCTTTGTGACTTTAGGAGCAATTATGATCCGTAACACCAAAGCACATGAGTACATGGATTTCATTTATTTTCTAAAGTCAGTTCAGTCTTGCTTTAAAGCTACAATCAATTAACTATAGTATAAATGTTATTTCTGAAAAAGTAGAAACATTAGAACACTTTATTGATTCTGTGATCTCGAAAATCCATCAAATCTTCAAGCCAAGCTGTCTCCTGGAAGTCCTGGAAAAAGATCAATATGCCTACAGTATTGATTATCACATAAAACAGCCAGATTCATGCCTCGGGCTGCTAGAAAAAGCAGATAAGTAATGAGAAAGTGTCCTGTTTGCAGAGCTCAATAAGGTGAGGAGGTCGCGGCTTTTCAAGAAATGTGTGCACTGTTGCAGTTGCACTAGATCACCTGCAGATCAGGGTGGCGCTGTTGAGGTCATAGTCAGCCTTTGACTTGGCACATATCTTGCAAGGCTAACCGCATCCCTTCCAAGCCAGTTGACTTCAATATGGCCTGCACTTTTTAAATGTGTTGCATTTATTGGGTAATTATTGCTCTAATTTCCCTCTAATTGCAGAAAGGCCTGCCCTGTCCGTCTGGTTCTCGTTAGACCCCTGCAAGAATATTTTTTTCATTAGCGGTTTTCTCACTTGCTTTAACCGGGGACTGTGCAGTACCACCCCCACACACCAGTCTTCCCTTTCTTCGTTTTGAAATGTTTTACAGGCAGCTGTGGCTGTGGAGGTGATCTGCAGCAACAGGGAGCAGAGCAGGGCCCAGTCAGAGGTCACAGATCCTGGCTATGTCAGTCCATCATGCGAAAGGGAGTGCCCTCTCCTTCATCCCACCCTGCACAGAGTAACAGAGCAAAAACAGAGGCTGGCGTTTAAAAAAAAAAAACGAAAACCATCTGATGGATATTCCAGAAGGGCACGTGGGGGAATTGAAATTCAAGTTTTGCTGTAATAATTTGCAGAAATAAAACGCTTCATGATTCCCGACCCAGTCCTACACTAATAAGGCTCTCAGTCTATTTTTTGTTTGATTTATATAACAGGAGGGGGTGTAATTGAGTCACCATAGAATCCTAATATAAAATTATAATCTGACGGGTCCTGTGTGCCAGAAAATTGCCACAGGATGATGGTAATTCAAGTGCATATATACTGTATATAAAATAAGTACTTGAAACGATATGACAGCTTTCAGTTCAGACAGAGGTATTATGTTGATTAATTCCAGTCAGTTCATTCTCTGCTCTGCTAACAAGACAAGGTCTCAAACCGAAATCAAGTCCATGAGTTCATAAAAACATAGTAGAGTCAAATTATAATATTAATTTTAATAGTAATATCAATATTTCCTTGCATTTCCATAGCACTGTCCCCAGAAAGATATTAAACCCTTTGCAGGAAAGAGGCTTTTCCCACGAGGCTTACACGAGCAGCTGGTGCCTCACAGTGTTTTTATGTATTTGTCACGAACCTAAGGTAGTTTAAAAACCTGTAAACGAAAGGTCACCACTGGCCTTGAAACACTGGTATGACCACAAACTGAAAACATTTCATGGTGCAGCAAGAGGACCCCAAGCACAAAAATAAGCAGAAAAAATAAATCCAGAAAAAATTAGCAGAACGTATTTTTCCACTGATGCAGACATATATTTTATATTTAAAAAACGAAATTGTTTTTTGGGATCCAGTTACAGTATGTGCAGCACATACTATACGTCGGTCCCCCGTGACACTATTGAAACAGCAGAAAATCTGAAAAGTCTGATACTTACTTTCACACCCAGAGCAACCATCAGCATTGCACAGAGAGGTCCCTGATACCATTAGAACAACTAACCGTGGAGAGTAAGAAAAGGAGAGTTTGATCTTATCAGGCAGTAAGGTGAAGAAACATACTGTATGAGCTGAAACAAGGGTGTTGGCACCCTCATACAGCCTGTAAACATTTACTTGAAGGGCTTCTGTGTTTAACCTTAATCATTTCATTTCACAGCATCAGATTTTGCAAAGAAAGGGAAAGTATATTCTGTGATTCCATTCCATGGTTCTAAGTCAAGAACCATGTTACATTCCTTCTTCATATTCCATCGATCACTTTAGAAGAAACAGAGATCTCTAACAGATATCTTGGATAATTCAAGTAAAAAGCTAAAAAAGCACAGTGACACCCAAAGGAAAAACAAAGGACCTGGTAATTAAGTACTTATGCCTAAACACTAGAAACAAAATGCTAGAAGCCTAGAAGCAATCATGATGTAGAGTAATTGGAATCTGAGATACATACTGTAGTCAACTGAAAGGGATTGAGATAAATGTAATATTAGTATATATACACTGTTCTGGAGAGATGAAGAAGGAGAGATGTAGCTCTATATATGAGAAAGAGTATTCAGGTATACTTAGACTAGAGAAATCAAGGGTATAAGAATCTGTATGATTTAGAATTATAGAAAAGTGCAATGGTTAGTGGTACTTGTCTACTATGGACCTTCAAATGCATTAATTATTATTTAGCACTATAGTGATATAAAATTTAATGTGCAAACAAGTATTTTAAGGGATACTTCAAGTTCCCCCACATGGGAAAGAAGACTAGAAAAGACCTATACTGTAGGTCTACAACCTATAACTTTCAGCCAAAACTGAAATGGTAGGCATGGTTAATGACTGCTGTCTTACCCTGTTTATTAGAGTACCTCCAAGGGTAAATGTTTATTCTGATCTAGACCTCTTAAACAAAAGAAAGTGAGGGAAACAGAGGTGAGAGAACCATTAGGAAGCTGTGATCACTTTATGGTGTGTTTAAAGTAAATTTTGTAATAATACAATCTGGGTCCAAATCAAAAGTTTACAATGTCAGGAAAGCAGGTTTTGGAGGAATGATACAGCTCAATAGACATACAAAGGGACAGGAAAGATAAGGAGTCAGTGCAGAATGAATGGCAACAAGATTAATGGATTCTGCTTGAATTATAGAACAGATTTATCCCAAGCATAAGGAGATCTAAAATGGCTAAAAACAAAGAAGAGGCCAAAAAGGTTTAAGATATTAGTTATAACAAACAGACAGAAGGCACTTTATAAAATAAATCCAGTTAAAGAAAAGGTGATCAGTAAACTGCAAGCACAGGTAAAAAGAGAGATTAGAAAGGCCTTGAGAGAGAAATAAATACTGAAATGGAGGCTAAAAGTACGTAAATAAAACAAAAAAAGGGTTATTTCAATATTACTATATGAAAAGAAACATGTTGTGTATTGTATCTGGTACAATAAAGGGACACTTCTTGGCAATTAAAAGGAAGTGACCGATGTACAAAGCTATTACCATATGAAATTAAACAGAAGTACAAAATAAGAATTTAAATTAAGGGATTGTCTGTTAAAGAGTGTCTGTCCCTCCATGAAGAAAAATATGTTGATCTTTTGGAATCAGTCCAATCAGACAAGAGAAGAGTACCCATATTTCCAGGCTTAATGGATTGTCTTACACTGGGTAATTAAAAGCACTGAACCTTTATAGTCTTAAACAGAGAAGACTATACAGGGGACCGGTTTCTATTGAAAGTCCTCAATGGCACTGACAAAGTCAACCAGACTCCTTCAGAATCCACAGTGAAACACAAACCAGAGGACAAGTGGAAACTACATGTAAGCGCGCTGAAAAATAAAAACAGGAGGCATTTCTTTATTCAAAGCATTGCAAGAGTATGGAACAAACTACCTTTCCATGTTTCCAAGACAAATGCCCTGGCTTCTTTCAAGAAATGGCTGAATCAGATCCGTGGATCAATAAGCTACTAATTACAAAACAGGCTGAATGGCCTCTTGTTGTTTGTATTCTGTCTTGCATTCAACCACAAAACTGCCACAAGGCCCAGGTCCTCCTTGAGAAAAGTGAAAGGGCTTCAGGAACTGAGGGAACATTATGAGCAGGAGGAACTCGCTAACCCCACACTCATGGAGATGCAAACCCTTAAATCACAGAGCACCTACACGGAGAAGGTAACAGAGAGAAGTGGGGAACAGGTGTCGGAGGAAGAGGGGTATGGCAGTGATTCCCAATACTGCCACCTGACACTTGCCAAACAAGTGTGCTCTCCCCGGGACCTAGAGACAGACAATCAAGAACAGGAAGCTCCAGACAGTACCTCCCTTCACCATGTTGTCTAATGCAAGACATGGCAACTTCAGTCATAACAGTTTTAGTTACTGCAAGCCTCACCCAAAAGAGGACCAGAGAGAAAATCGAATCATCGAAGGACCAGGAGTATTAAGTCTTTATATCAGGGGTCTTTAAACCTGGTCCAGGAGAGTCACAGAACTGCTAGTTTCACAAATTTCTAAAGAACTAGGACAATTCCATTGTAATCAAAGAGGTGATTTGCTAGAATAAGTATTTAGAGATCATTTAGGACTGAAGTCCTCAGCCCCCTAGGATCAGACTTCTCGTAAACTGAACAGATTCATCAGTAGCTTACAGGTGCTGCTTCTTTGAAAACAGGTGACCTTTAAGGCTCTCCAGTACAAGGGTTGGAAACACCTGACTTATGCCTAAACGTATACCTAAATACCAGGAGTGTTAGGAATAAATTGCAAGACATAGAAGCTACTGCACTGGCATATACTTATGCTACTGGGATCAGAGAAGCATGACTCACAGAGTCTTATGGGGAAGGACACAACATCCTTAGCAGATACAGAGCATTCCAGAGAGACAGAAAAGATGGAAGAGGTGCAGGTGTAGCCCTACATATCAGAAAGAGCATTCAGGCACAGGAATCTGAATGCATTACAAGTCCCAGTATTCAAATGGATCAAATTTATGGATCAAGCATAGCAAAATATTTTAAAGACACAGTGTTGCTGCAGTGATACCTTACTAGTTCTGTAGCCGTCTGTAATGAAATCAGGGAGCTATGTAATTAGGAAGAAATGGCAATTATATGTTATTTAAATTTCTGACACATACATTGAGAAAAATCATCAAGCACATCAGAAGTTATAGTTGAAACAGTAAAAATGGTTAAAGACTGCTTTATTTTTCATTTTATCAGAAAGAATACCTGAATTGGTCTTGTCTGTTGACCAGGGATGAATGCCTCAACTGTGATCAGAATTTACAGGTAGAGTCCAAAACAAAGTTTTCCCCCATGACCCTAAATTGGAAGAAACAATTAGAAAATGGACAGATGGAAAGCAGTTACACAAACAGCAGAAAGATAACACTTTGTTGCACGATTTAAAAACAGCAACATCAGAATAAAATTAACAAAAATGAGCACGATGAATTACAAACAAGTTAAATTAAGATAATACAATGCAACCTGAGAAAAGGATTCTGTATGGAGTCTCAGAGGTGGTAATTTAGAAGAAGAAAGGAAAATGACTTGAATATTTCACTCAAGTGTTTACGTTCCTCAGAGGAACAAAGACATAATTGCTAATTAAAGAGTATCAGCATATAAGAGACAGAAGTTAGTTACCAGTACTAGACACACATATGATAACTCCCCAAGCCAGGTAATACAACAGCAATTGTACTAAAGGAAATGAGGGATTTTGTATTTAGCAACTCTTACAAATTTATAAACACGATGTCAACTACTCTTTTAACAGTCTCTCCACACTGTGTAATACACACTGGTTGGAAAAATGACTAATGTGGCAGCCATCCACAAAAAGGATTGCATAACAGAACAAAGCAAATTATAGATGAATAAGTCCTACTTTTTACATGTAAATTTAGAGATGATAATTAGAAATAAAATACATTAGTGGTTTTCAACCGCTGTGCCATGACACACTGGCATGCAGTGAGAACTGTGTCATTAAATGTTTTACAAAGGTCATGAAAAAAATAAAGAAAACTATTTAATTTTAATATTCTATCCAACCAAAATTATAACTCATAAAAATTAATGGAAATGAATTTGCATTTTTTTAAGTTACCAGTTATCAGCTTTCAGTTCTAAAACATGAACTTTCTAAGCACAGATGGCCTAAAAGAGACTACTTGCTAGTTTTTACTAGTCACCATAGAAATCAAGCATAGCAATTTGGAGCTTTTTAGTTGATAGTAAACCATGACAAAACAGGCTAGCAGGTGTAGGAAAACTGACCATGTTCCCCTTTCTTCACCAAATCTATATTATAAGAAGAAATGGATAAGTGTGTTATCTGAAGAGATGATTCCTTTGCTAATTCAGTGGTTGATAAAACAGCTGAGCCCCACAGAAAAAAAGCTAGAACTATTCAGAGACAGTGCAATGAGAGGTACAGTATCTGGCCTGAGACTTGGCCAGACTTGTTGCTAACAGCTAAAAGATCCAGATGAGTCAAATGCCTCCTCTCTTTCTTATGTTCTTAGGTTTCCTGAGTCTGCTGTCTCATTGCTTACCAGACATCAAGCAGCAGTTTTGTCAATGAGCTGCATTAGTCTTCCATCCAATACCTTAGTTCTGATGCAGATAGCATGAGGAGAATCTTATCTTTATCTGGGACAAACAATATTTCAGATTAATAATAATAATTAATAATAGTTGCTTACACTTATATAGAGCTTTTCTGGACACTCCACTTAAAGCGCTTTACAGGTAATGGGGATCCACCACCACCAGTGTGCAGCACCCAGTTTGATGATGGGACAGCAGTCATAGTGCACGAGAATGCTCGCCACACACCAGCTCTCAGTAGGAGGAGAACTGAGTGATTAAGCCAGTTCAGAGATGGAGATTATTAGGAGGCTATGATTGGGAAGGGCCAATGGGAAATTTGGCCAGGACGCCAGGGTTACACCCCTACCCTTTTCAAGGAACACCCTGGAATTTTTAATGACCACAGAGAGTCAGGGCCTCAGTTTTACGTCTCAACGGAAGGATGGCGCCTTTTTACAGTATAGTATAGGTTAACAGCACTTCTCTGCTATTGCTAGGCAGGCAACCTTGCTTAATGTGGCAGTGGTCTCATTTACACAGTCAGACTGTCAGAATGCAGAGTACAGTATGTAAACAACATTAGTTTGGTCCAAAGAGCAAGTGTGGCTCAGTCTTCTGGTGCAGTGATGCATGACAGTGCTGCTGACTTCTGGTCACATGTATTCTCAAGCTTGTCAGACTGTTGTTCTTCTTTTTGGTCATTTCTAATAGATCTCTTTGGAAGCACGATTAAACGTCTTGATGCTTGGCGCTAGGTGCTTGTTTCAGTCAGACAACAATGTCAAAAATGGTCTTATTCCAACAACACTTAATTTCTGTAAGGCATGTTTTTGTTCTGTTCTGAATTCTAAGTAAAAGCTGAGCAATTATGTGACTCAGTACAATTAGACAATTTTTTAAAACACTGATCTCAGTCTGGATGTTGTATCAAGGTAGAAGAAATCTATGAATAAACAAGATATACAGAATATATAGCTCAACATGACCATAGTTAATGGTTCATTGAGAACTGATGACAGGGTTGTGACACAACAATGGGTACTGATGACAGGCGTTAATGTACATTTAAGGTACTTTTTTCTTTGCACTTTCACTAGACTCTCTGTATACCTCACACCTGAAGAAGGCTCCACGGCCGAAACATTGTGTTTTCTTTTTTCTCTTTTCAGCATGGAATTAACCTATTACTTGTTTCTGTATACACCATGCAACTCTCAAAATCCATCTTACATTTTTTCAGGCAGCATCACTGCCCCACCAGTTCCAAACACACTCAGTTCCATAAAGATCATGTCCAGTATTAGTTAGGAACTGTCACTTCTTCATTAGATCCACTGAAGCAGCAGCTAAATGAAAGTCTCTGATATATGACCCACCCCTTCCTCCACCACTGAGCCGTGCTATATTAAAATGAGCAAGTGCCCTATCATCTCACAATACATCAATGCCAGTGGCATAAAGATCCACCTCCCATTTGGATTCATTTGTGCTTAACAATGGAAAAGGCCCAGGCAGACAGATACAGATATATTTAAGAATATAAAATCAATCTAGTCCATCTAGCCTGCTTGGTTGCTCATAATTGATTAATAGATTCCAGAATCACAATGACCAATTACTTAAAATGAAAGCAGGGTATGAGTTTCAACAACATTGCTGGACTCCTGTCTTTGAAAGCCTTGAACGACTGAACACTGGTCCTGGCAGGGCTGGCCACCCCTTGACTAGGCTGTGGCAAATCACAGAAACTGAAGCTGCTTTTTAAGCCTTTCTTTAAAAAAGCCCTGGGTCTCAATTTTGTAATTTTTGTCACTTTTATATCTTTTGTTTAGTTTTATGTGTATTATATTGCTTAGACCAGACATGTTTGCCAAGAAAGGCGCTTTATGAAATAAAGATGACCATTATTGCTCTTATGATTCAGCCTTCGCCAGCTGACTTGTTCTAATCTAGCCACAGTTTCAGATCTGCATCCATTTCTTATTATTGCTTTTGTTTCTTCCTTTTCCATTTTTTTCTAGTGAGCTTGTGTTCAGCAGTAGTGCTTTTCCAAGTTTATTATCCTAACATGAAAGTCATGTAACACAAAAGAATCAGCCCACACTACCAAATGCTCAGACTGAGGCCAAATTCAATGGGCTTGCTGGTCGTGCTAAATAAACCAGACACACTTAAATAAAACAGCACATCTGAAAACTCACAGAGGCCCGCAGAGGGAGCTGACCAGGAAAAGAGAAGGAGTTCAGAAAGATACAACAAAAATGTCTTTCATTTCTGGTTTCTTTTTTTTATTCTTACTTTCACCTCATTCCAGGTTAAAAAACCCAGATACTTCTTCCAGAACTTGTGCCCAGAGTCCCCTTCACCAAATTAAAAACAGCAAATACCAACATGAAATTGTTTATGGACAACGGTGTTCTATACCAATTAACTACTCACATAGAGGTTTGGAACTAAATTTTTTAGCACCGTTGCAGATGCAGCAAAACTGACATTCCAAAAAACTGACATGTTTTGAGTTTCTCTTTAAGTAAAAACCAGTACTTAATAATTCCTCTATAAAATAATCTCAGCACTAAACAATAAAATCAAGCACTTACTGCAGAAGCTCGTATTGATAGTTAAGCAGGGAGCAGCACAGAGTATGAAGGCAACACCTGCTTTATAATGCTTGGAACTCTCTCCCAGATACTGAGTGCTGGCAACTTTTTCAACTGGCGAAAAATACTGTAATACTTTTTTTCACATCTCACTTTAAACACGCATGACTGTGTTCATAAAAAAGGTTTCTTGCCATACAGTATGTAGTTTATGGCACTTAGCTGAAAAAGGAAAAATAAGACCCTTGTGTTACCAAATCTAAATAAAAATGATTTAGAATACACATGGAAACTCTCTGAAATATTTATGTGACACTTTAAAACTTGTTTGTGTTGTTGTCTTAAAGGGAAATAAAAGTCAAATCTGCCCAGTAGTAATTTTAGAAAATAGCAAGCAGTGCAAAAACATAATATATGCTAAAAATATCTAGGATAATTTGCAGAAAATCATGGGTTATACTTATTCATCTCCCTGTTTTTGTAAATTGCACCGCATCCACTCCAATGCAAAATGCAGTCTCTGACTTTGGTTCTCTGAATTGTTTGATCCATTAATACATTTTTGGAAGTTACGTCATAGACTGATTAATCAGAGGCCGATTCAGAAGAATCTAAAGCAAGCTGACACAATGTAACAGAAAGTCTACAGTGAGTTATCAAAGTGAACAACTGAGAGTTTCACAGGAACATAAGAGCCATGAACTCCACATGGCAAATTAGCTAATTAAAAATCATAGCAAAGATCTCATTTTACTTTTAGATAGAAATATTTCCATTACAGTGAGCAAAAGATGTGCCCCATTGCACGGATCTTACTGTTTTGCTCTTATTGATGGAAGCGGAAATGAAAGATGTGAAGGTTTTTTTCCCCATCTTTGCCCTTGTTTTTGCTGCAATGCAGAAAAGGCTCCACATTCTCTTAATAGAAGCCTCAAACTAAAATTGTATAATAATCATTTCATTGCCACGGGTCGATTACCACATTCACACCTCAAGAACAAGCCTCCTCTTGTTTGTAAATGTTCTTGAAGTGCTCTCAGGTTTCTTGAGGAACATCTTCTCTAATGATATGGGCATGACTCTTCCACGTTACTGTCCAATTCAGGCTCTGTTCCACTCAAC